TTCGGCGAGTCATATTACATCATGCAGGATTTTCAGGCTAGGGCAATCACTAATGTAAGTTAAGTGAACTTTTTTAAAAGTTTCGATACTTAAGTGATCGTTTGAAAAGTTATAACACAAAATTGAGCACTTATGATGGCAAATATGATTTTCTCAAACATTTATTATCTCGCCTCACACATTCTAAAACCTTATTTTCTTTTCTTAAAACACGGCTAGGCGCATGCTTCGTGGGTCATAAGCCAACCGTCAGTGTATAGACATCAGCTTAGCCCCTTTATGGAGAGTAGCAAAGGCAAATAGAAATAATTTAAGACAGCAAAAATGTCTTGAGATTCAATCGTTGATAGTAAGATCTCATCAAATCACTCACATGGTCTCATATCATAGACACTAGGGATGGGCACGGGGCTAAAGAAATCGGCATCCCGTGGTGCCTCATTGCGACTAAGGCAAAATTTGCTCTGTGAGGCATTTGGCGGGGTGGGGCATGGCCGGTATTAGTCTTGCCCTCTTGTATATTTTTAGAAAATTGTAAACTAATTACAAGTAATATATTTAAATTCTAATTATTATATCATACAACTTATTCTAATTTATCAATCGCTTAATTTAAAATTAAAGTACATCAAAAAAATATGTTGTTAAGTATATAATGCAAACACATTAATATACATAAGCAGTGTTAAGGTTTGCAATTCTTTAGTAGTTACAAATACTAAGAAGCTTAAAAGTTAATGAACCTTAAAGAGCCTCTAGTTCTCTATATGGAACGTCCCACATAGGATGAAAGGCAAGAACGTAGGCAACAAGGCCAGTCACAAAACATGAGGTCGAACCATGTGATGGATTACGCAGCCATGTGATGAGCACAGAGCGAACTATTCTTTCGCCTTTTACTAAAGAATACCGTGTGCTCGTCACAATTAGTGGCATACGCCTATTTTTGGAGGGGCTTCTTCAATTGAGGAAGCTCCTAAAGTTGAGTCAAATGATTTCATAGCCCCTTGTGGTGCCACTGGTGTTTATGGATTCACTTCCTTGAGTGCACTGCCTTGCTGTTACGTAGTCTTAAGTCTTGACCATTGTTCAAGCGACCTCGTTAGACCACATTAGAACTCCAACATTGCACTTAGCTTAAAACCTCGGAGTGCGTATTTATGGAGTTTCCCTTGGTGAGGAGGAGCAAACACCTGTGGCAAGTCAGGGCTCAGAGGAAGAGAAACATGTATCTCCAGGTGTGATTTCGCCTTTCATTAAGGAACCGTAACCGTGCGCTTTCAATCCTAGCCTCCAAACCAATTGTTTCTTGCAACTGCTGTCCTAATAAAAAAAAATAAACTCGAGCTTAGTTCAATAGGACGATGGATTCTTGCTTGACACCAAATCATGCGTTTCTAGTTTTCTGAGTTTTCGCTTGTTCTCTGCGTCATCATGAGTAAATGGATTAGTGCTCAATCGCCAAGAACTAACAAATAGCACACAGATCGATTGCTCCTCTGAGCCAAGTCAAGTGACCCCAAGAAACTTTCTTTGAAAGAATAGGATTTGAACTCCGAACCAAAATCAGTATGCCGTATTATCCGGACCGCCAAAATGTTCTGTTTCAATCCTTACTGGAGGCTTTCATGAGTCTTCCAAGTCTGCTATTGTTCTTTCTTCTTTTTTGCAAAGAGAAACTGTTGCGGAACAACACCAAAAGATGCACAAATCGAAGCACAAATAACAAAGGATGTAAGTAATATCAAAACCACATGAGACACAAGATATACGTGGAAACCCAAAATGAGAAAAACCACGAAGAGAGAGATGGGTTTCACTATCTTTAAGAATAAGTATAAGAGTACAATCCAGAGGTCAAAAGACCACTTGGTGTGCCACAAGCCTAACAAAAAAATAAGAAGAGCAAAGAAAGGAGAGAATGTGGAGACTAAGATTAGAGATAGAGTTGTGCAACACATTCCTTTTATAGTCCCCCTCAGAAAAGATCTAAAATAAATGTGCATGATCCAAAATGTCCTTGAAACGGTGAAAATGAGTCCCACATAGGGAATGCAGAAAGCATCAAGGACCAGAGCAGGGGACAAAAGAGGAGGCTAGGCAACGGACCAAAGCATACCTTTCTCGGCCTTTTGGCTAAGATCAAGTGTAGTATCTGTTCTTATCAGTTTAATATCTGATACGTGGGCCATCGGTCCACATGATATTAAATTAATTTTTTTAGGGGGAGAGGCCACCACGGTAGCTTGCTATTGGGCTTCTCAAGCGTCGCTCGGGCGTTGCACTGCAGCCCTTGCCTGGCGCACCCCACCCAAGCCCAGTCGAAATATAACAATTTTTGGTTTGCTACATGATGCACGATGCTTCTGTGATGCATAACTAGAGCACGGAGCTTTCAGGATTGGTATTGGGTTTAGCTGTTGAATCCAAGCAAACATCTTGCTGAAGCGAATAATCGAAAAGACTAGCGATCCGTCTTTGTTTCTCGGGTTAATTTGTGCAAAGTGGTTCTGTTCTATCATACAATGAGCATTGGAGTCTTTTTATGATGGTGAATGTCCCACAAATTCATGGGTCCTTTTCAAACCCACCCACCATAAAAACAACCTAACCCGACCTGACAGAATTTTTTTTTTCCTTACCTATGATCGTAAATTGGCTTTTGGAATTTTTCCTTATTAAAACTACGATTTCGCAAGGATCCGAAATCAGTTGGACCGTCTTGATGGTTTGTAAAATTGCCTTAAACAGTGGCAGTTTAAGATGGTAAAATTGGTAAAGACTGGATAGAATCATAAAATCGTGCAGATTTTAATCTCTGTCCATGGACAGAGTTAGTCCCAAAAATAGAAAAATTGGACCGAATAAGTGCGCTCACATGAAATAGAGATTCTGAATAATTGTGGCTCACATGAGATGAAGTCAGATTTGGGCTTTTGTATACAACCGATTGAGGAACGAATTCTGACTTTATTTTATACGAGCTTCGATAGATTAGCTAGTTCAACCTATTTACCATCTCAAATCACTGAGAAATCTGGTCGCCCTTCCTAGGATGAGAAAGGCCCATAACACTGTTCAAATAAACGAGAAATGGACAATAACGGTGTTACAAGTTTTTTACGATGCTCACTTGGTGCTATAACCTTTTAAGCGATCATTTAAGCGCAACAATTTCTAAAAATCGATCATTTTCAAGTAAACATCAGCCACTTGTGTCATCAAAAAATCGCATATAGCTTTATTTTAGGATAAATAATATTAATGTCGACACTCAAGATACATGATGTTGTTTGGCAACACAAATTTGCCCAAAATTGAGATATTAGGTTCAATTTGCTCCATAAACCAAACCTGAAAGCCAAAATCTTTCCCCAAATTGAGAAATTATGTTTAATTTTCTTCCCAAAAATTCCTAGCCCCAAATTCTAGTTTCAACTAGAACGGATTGTTTTTTTTTTTTTGGGTCAGAACAAAGGCTTTTCATTGAAATCTTGAAACATAGCAACCCAGAAAACGGGGTCTCAAAACAAAGCATTTCAATAAGGGCCTGCGGAGGACGGGTCAACCAGTGTTCGGTAAGTTTTTTTCCCCTAAAAGTCTTCGCTACCCAGTCCGCCACTCTATTACTGTTCTTATTACGGATTGTTCAATAGCGAGACACCCGTGTCGTTTCACGATAGCCAAGGTGTTGATGAAACTGAACATGGGCTTCTTCGGAAGGTTCGATATTGACGCTGGTCGTGGAGGGAGGAATGATGGGTGCCAAGGACTTAGAGAGAGAGAGAGAGAGAGAGAGAGAGAGAGAGAGAGAGAGAGAGAGAGAGAGAGAGAGAGAGAGAGAGAGAGAGAGAGAGAGAGAGAGAGAGAGAGAGAGAGAGATGGTGATGGTGATGGAGGCGGCCGAAGCACTCTGCGGCTCCCTATTTAGTGATATGCATGATTCATTGGTAACCTCTAGTTTGATGGTGAGGGGGCAGCCAGTGCGGTGTCCAAAGTGAAGCATTGATTTTGGTTTAAAATTGAAAAGAGTGGCTAGGGTTTGGATTGACAACACGATTAGCCCAAATTCTAAAACTAGGGGCAAGAAAAGCTTAAAGGACATAGCTTTAGAACATTTTCGCTGACACCTCCTCGGCGAATCATATGACATCATGCAGGATTTTCAGGCTAGGGCAATCACTAATGTAAAGTTAAGTGAACTTTTTAAAAAGTTTCGATACTCAAGTGATCGTTTGAAAAGTTATAACACAAAATTGAGCACTTATGATGGCAAATATGATTTTCTCAAACATTTATTATCTCTCCTCACACATTCTAAAACCTTATTTTCTTTTCTTTTCTTTTCTTAAAACACGACTAGGCGCATGCTTTGTGGGTCATAAACCAACCTTCAGTGTATAGACATCAGCTTAGCCCCTTTATGGAGAGTAGCAAAGGCAAGTAGAAATAATTCAAGACAGCAAAAATGTCTTGAGATTCAATCGTTGATAGTAAGATCTCATCAAATCACTCACATGGTTTCGGATCATAGACACTAGAGATGGGCACGGGACTAAAGAAATTGGCGTCCCGTGGTGCCTCATTGCGACTGAGGTAAAATATGCTCTGTGAGGCATTTGGCGGGGTGGGGCGAGGCAGGTATTAGTCCTGCCCTCTTGTATATTTTTAGAAAATTGTATACTAATTACAAGTAATATATTAAAATTGTAATTATTATATCATATAACTCATTCTAATTTATCAATCGCTTAATTTAAAATTAAAGTACATCAAAAAAATATGTTGTTAAGTATATAATACAAACACATTAATATACATAAGCAGTGTTAAAGTTTGCAAATCTTTAGTAGTTACAAATAGTAAGAAGCTTAAAAGTTAATGACCCTTAAAGAGCCTCTAGTTCTCTATATGGAACGTCCCACATAGGATGAAAGGCAAGAACATAGGCAACAAGGCCAGTCAGAAAAGATGAGGTCGAACCATGTGATAGATTACGCAGCCATGTGATGCGCGCAGAGCAAACTATTCTTTCGCCTTTTACTTAAGAATACCGTGTGCTCGTCACAATCAGTGTGCTCGTCACAATCAGTGGCATACGCCTATTTTTGGAGGAGCTTCCTTGGCTGAGGGAGCTCCTAAAATAGAGAGTGCAAATGATTTGTTAACCCCTTAACATCGATGTCAAGTTTAGCGACCGTCTCATGAAAGGTGGTGCTCGCCTGAGTATATCTACTTTTGCATTGAATTCCTAATGACGCTATCAGCATCAGATATTGAACAAGTTGTACTTGGCTATGCAAATGATTCCACCCTGAGATACCAGCATGCCCATAAGTCATTCCAATTTCTAGTGTTTAAAGATTCAGTTCCTTGAGTGCACTGCCCTGCTGTTGAATTAGTCTCAAGTCTTAATCATTGTTTAAGCCACGTCATTTGACCATGTCAGAACCTCGACGCTGCACTGCCAATCGCCAAATCATACCCTCTCGACCAACCGGGTAAAAATGACTATTTGTCGAGCTGTAAGAGCTTCAAACCCCAGAGAGCCTGTGTATGGAGTTTTCCCATGCTGAAAAGTAGCAAACACCTGTGGCAACGTCAGGGGCTCAGAGGAAGAGGAATATGTGACTCTCCATGTGTTATTTCGCTGTTCCCCAAAGAACCGTGACCGGGCGCTCGCAATCCTTGTAACTTTCAGGCTCGAAAACTGGACCATAAGCTTCCAAACCAATTGTTCCTTGCAACTGCTGTCCTAACAAAAAAAAAATGAACAACTCCGGTTCAGTTTAATAGGATGATTGATGCTTGCTTCACCCCAAGCCTTGCGTTTCTAGTTTTCGAGTTTCTGCTTATTCTCTGCCTCATCATAATTAAATGAATTTGTGTTCAATCTCCTCCAACTAACAAACAGCACACAGAACGATTGCTCTTCTAAGCCAACTCAAGTGACTGCAAAAACTTTCTTGTAAGGATGGGATTCGAACTCTAAACCAAAATCATTCTGCTGCCATCTCCGAACCGCCCACATGTTCTGTTTCAATCCTCTCATATCTCAACTCACACCGGAGGTTTTCATGAGTCTTCCAAGTCTACTTTTGTTCTTCTTCGTTTTTTGCAAAGAGAAACCATGAAAAGGAGTCCCACATAGGGAATACGAAAAGAATCACAGACCAGAGCAGGGAACAAAATTGGAGGTGAGGCGACAGTGGAAAGCATACTTTTCTCGGCCTTTTTGCTAAGATCAAGTGTAGTTTTTGTTTTTATCAGTTTAATATAATATCTGATACGAGGCCGCCACAGTAGCTTGCTGCTAGGCCTCTCGCGCTTCTTTCTAGTGTTGCACTATAGCCCTTGCTTGGTGCACCCCACCCAAGCCCAGTCAAAAATAAATTTGTTTCTCTAGTATATGTTAGTGTTTCATTATCACTTTTGCTTATTTTGCACTTTGGTTGAAACATATTTTTGGTTTGCTACTCAATACACCACGAAGCAGGTGTGGTCTGTGATTATCTTGAAGAATGTGATCGTCGTAATCGCCAGAAATCTCGGCAGTTTTTCTGATTATGCAGTTTTTTTTACTTTAGACAATTTCGAATTATCAATATTTCGATTGATTTTATTAGATAAGATTAAATTTGATTTGCTTTGATGTTATCTTCATTAATTCGGATATCTTTAGGAGTCCTATCATTATTAAATGACGTCCAGCTTTGTATTCGGATCAGAAAAACTGCCGAGATTTCCGGCGATTACATTCTTCAAAATAATCACAGCTAACTGTTCTACATCATCTCTTGACTCTCTGTGTTGCTGAAGGAACCAAGCAAACATCATGCTGAAGCGAAGACTCCAAAAGACACTAGTGGTCTGTCAGGGTTTCTCGGGTTTATTTGTGCTAAATGGTTCTGTTGTGTTAAACAATGAACCATTAGAGTTCTTTTATGATGGTGAATGTCCACAAATTCATGGTTCCTTTTCAAACCCACCTACCACAAAAAACAACCTGACTCGACCCGACCCGACAGTATTACGTAAGATCCTAATTTGATTTTTGGAATTTTCCCTTATTAAAAATACGATTTTTTCTTTAGGATCTGAAATCAGTTGGACGGTCTCAATGGTCTGTAAAATTGCTTTATGTAGTAGTGGTTTTTTTTTTGGCAAAGAAAAAAAAATTAGACCGAATAATAGGGCTCACATGAAATAGCAAATTTGAAAAATGAGTTCGGCATCATATTTACCCAAGCGGTACATAAGATGAAGTCTGATTCGGGCTTTTGTATTAGCGATTGAGGAATAAATTTGGACTTTGCTTTAAGATGGGCTAGTTCAACCCATTTACCATCTTGGACCCTGGGAAATCCGGTCACCATTTCTGGGATGATAAAGGTCCACAACACTGTTCAAAGAATGGAGAAATGGGCAATAACAGTGCCGCATGTTTCGTACGGTGCTCGTTTGGTGCTATAACTTTTCAAGAGATCATTTAAGTGCAATAATTTCTAAAAAAATCGATCATTTTCAAGTGACATCAGTCACTCGTGTCGTCGGAAAATCGCATGTGACATTATTTTAGAGTAAATAATATATCGTGACTCGTCAGATATGTCAACACTCAAGATATACAAATCAAATGACATCGTTTGGGCAACATAAATTTGCCTGAAATTGAGGAATTAGGTTCAACTTTCTCCATAAACCAAACCCTAACCCAAATTCTTTCTCCAAATTGAGAAACTAGATTTTATTTTCTTCCAAAAAAATCCTAGCCCCAAATTTCAGTTTCGATTAGAATGGATTATTGAGTAGCGACGCGCCCCGTCTCATCTCGAGGCAGCAAACGCGCTGATGAAATGAACACGAGCCTCATCAGAAGGTTCGACATTGACACTGGTTGTGGAGGGAGGAATTATGGGTGCCGAGGAGAGAGAGAGAGAGAGAGAGAGAGAGAGAGAGAGAGAGAGAGAGAGAGAGAGAGAGAGAGAGAGAGTTTTCAAATGATGCTGGCGGTGCTGGCCGAAGGGTAGCGGTGTGGTGTCCAAAGGGAAGCATTAATTTCGGTTGCAATTAAAAAAAAGGGGCTAGGGTTTGAATTGCAACATAATTTAGTTCCAAAATTCTCAAATTGGAGGCAGGAAATAGCTTAAACGTCGTCGTTTGAAATATTTGTTCACTATCATTATCTCTCTAGCAAATCATGTTGCATGATGTAATGTCAAATTAATGCCGTGTAGGATTTTTAGGTAAGGGCAGTCGTTGATAAAACTTAAGTGATCGTTTTTAAAGTTATACTTAAGTGGTCGCTTGAAAAGTTATGAAGTTGTGATACTAAAATGAGTACTGTACGAAAATTATGATAACATTAATGTAATTTTCCCATATCTTTATTATCTCTCTTCACATGTTTTAAAACATTATTTCCTTTTCTCTTTTTAAAACATGCGTAGGTGCATGCTTCTTCCCTCGCGAGTCATAAACCAACCTTCAGTGTATAGACGTCCGCTTAGCCCCTCCATGGAGAGTAGCAAAGGCATGTAGAAATAATTTAAGACCGCAAAAATGTTTTGACATACAATCCTTGATAGTAAGATCTCATCAAATCACTTCATCAAATCACTCACATGGTCTCTAATCATGTGAGAAGAAGCATAGAAATAAAAAAAGAATATGTTTATTTGACGCCATTTTAAACATTTTCACTGACATCATCTCTATGATAAGTCACGTTGCATGATGTAATATTACATCAGTGTCATGTAGGATTTTGAGGTAAGGGCCATTGCTGATGTAACTTAAGTGAACGTTTTTAAAAGTTATGGCATTTAAGTGATTGCTTGAAAAATTATGAAGTTATGATATCAAAGTAAGTCATGTACAAAAGTTATGACACTGTCAATGTCATTTTCCCAAATATATATTATCTATCTTCAAACGTTTAAAACCTTATTTCTTTTCTTTCAAATACAGTTAGGTGCATGCGTCTTCCCTTGTGGGTCATAAGCCAACCTTTAGTGTATAGACATCCGCTTAGCTCCTTCATGGAGAGTAGCATAGGCATGTAGAAATAATTTAGGGTTAATATCACAAAAAACCCCAAATTGATACACTTGTAATAAATTTATACCAAACTAATTTTTTGACCACTAAAAACTCCAAATTAGTACACCTGTGATAAATTTACCCTCTATGAAATTTTACCGTTAAATTGCTGAGTTGGATGACACGTAACAGTTGACAGATGTACTAGTTTGGGGTTTTACCCTTCCATTTGTCATAGGTTTACTAATTTGTGATTTTTCGCGGTATTAATCCAATTTTATGAAAGGTAAATTTATCACAAGTATACCAGTTTGGGGTTTTTGCTTGTCAAAAACTTAGTTTTGGATAAATTATCACAGGTGTACCAGTTTGAGATTTTTATTGGTCAAAAAATTAGTTCGGGGTAAATCTGTCACGTGTACCAGTTTGGGATTTTTCGTGATATCAATCTAATAATTTAATACGGCAAAAATGTCTCTATATACTATCCTTGATAGTAAGATCTCATCAAATTACTTGCACGATTTCTAATCATAGACTTTAGAGATGGGCACAAAGACTTGAGAAATTTGTGTCCCATGGTGCCTTGTTGCGAAAGGGGCAAAATTTTCTCCACGAAGGCATTTGGTGGGGTGGGACGAGGCAGTATGAGTCCCTCTCCTTTTGTATATTTTTAGAAAATTATTCATTAATTATAAGTAACATATTAAAATTGTTTTATTATATCATATAACTTATGACCCACTTAATTTGAAATTCACGTAAAATAAAGAAAAAAAATATTTTATTCAGTGAATGATACAAATACATTAATATAATTAAGTAGTGTTATGTTTGCAATTCTTTAATAGTTATAATGACCAAATTAATGAACCTAAAAGAGCCTCCACTAATTCTTCTTGTTGAACGTCCCACATAGGAAGAAAGGCAATAACAGGGCAACAAGGCCAACGACAAAAGACGAGGTCGTAGAATTGGGCAAATCACGCAGCCATGTGATGAGCACAGAGCGAACTATTCTTTCGCCTTTTACTAAAGAATACCGTGTGCTCGTCACAATTAGTGGCATACGCCT